CAGAGGGTAGGTAGCACGTGATATGACCTTTTGCCATCGATGAGAGACACAATCCAAAATTGTCAGATTTTTCTGTTGCTCACCCACATACTGTCCTGATTCTCCATGGTATAAAAACTTGAACACTGAACTAAACACGTAGACAGGTATGAGGTTGTCAAAGATGGTCAGCAATTGTTTGTGAAGGGTAGGTTGTGTCTGACTAATCCAGTTGAATTATTTGAGGCCCACTAAAATGGTAGATAAGAGACTGTCTATGGATGTTGTTTATATGGACTTTCAGAGGGCATTTGATAAGGTTCTACACAAAAGATTATCAGTGAAAATGGAAGCGCATGGAGTTGGAAGTAACATTGTGACATGGTTTAGTAATTGGTTGGGAGGCAGGAAACAGAGAGTAGGGATAAAAGGAACATTCTCTGATTGGTGGGACATGACAAATGGTGTCCCCCAGTGGTCTGCACTGGGACCTCAGCTTTTCGTTATAGAAATAAATGATTTGTATGAATAGAAAGTTTTATATCCAAGTTTGTAGACAACACTACGCTCAGTAAATTGTGTAGCTGGGAGTAGGAAGTTACAAGGGACTTAGACAGATTAAGTGAGTGGGCAAACCTGTGGCAGATGAAGTTCAATGTAGGGAAGTGTGAGGTCATCCACTATGGATTGAAAAAAGATAAACAAAATATTTTTTTAATGGGGAGAAATTTAACTATGGAAGGGTGTCTATATCCATAAATCATTAAAAACTAGTTCCAAGTGTAATCAAAAAGGCAAATGTTATGTTGTCCTTTATCTCAAAGGGCCTAGAATACAAAGGGGAAGAAAGGATGCTTCAGCTGTACAGACCATTGGTCAGACACCACTTGGATACTGCGTTTAATTTTAGGCATCTCACAAAAGATATATTAGCCCTGGAGGGGGTGTAGGGCAGGTTCACCAGAATGTTACCAGGGTTAAGTTACGAGGAAAGGCTGCATAAACTTCGATTGTATTCCCTTGAATTTAGAGGTTGAGGGTGATTTGATTGAGGTGTTTAAGATGATAAAGGGATTTGATAGAGAAGCTATTTCCTCTGGTGGGGAAATCCAAAGCAAGGAAGCATAGTCTTAAAATTAGAACCAGACCATTTAAGGGTGAAATCAGGAAGCATTTTTTCACTGAGGGTAATAGAAATCTGGAACTCTCTCTCCCAAAAGGTGGTGGATATTGGATTCAAGAGTGAGGTTGATAGATTTTTGGTAGCTCAGGGTGTCAAGGGATATGTGGGAAAAGCGGGAAATTGGAATTGAAAGGATTAGTTGAGGTACAGAACATGATTTAATTGAATGACGGAACAGGCTCGAAGGGCTGAATGGCCTACTCCTATTCCTATGTTTCCTAAGTTCCTTGGTGGAGATGTTATTTTTCCCCAAGGCAATAATAATATTCTTGGCATTTATTATGGTCTCATTTTTACGTTCTTTTCCATTCTTTTATTGTGATCATTATTGAAGTCAGTATTGTTAGTTTAGTGTTAAGGTTAATATTGTTGAGGATCTTCAAATTCTTTGTGCTTTTGGCATTGAAATGTGCTTTGTGTCAGCCTTTTTTTTGGAAAAAAATGTTTCTTCTCACTTCAAGAATGATTTTGTTAAAAAAATTAAAATATGAAACTAATTGTCATTTTTTAAAAAAATATATTAATTGTAGCACTGTTTTTCTAAAAAGTTCCGTGCCCATTGCCAGTGTCTGTCACTCATATCATCACCAATCCAAGTTCATAGCCATAGCCAGTTTAGTAATTGACTGGAAATTGCAATTTTCCACACGCATTAATACATTGAATCTGTTAAGATAATCATTAATTCCTTTGTTTCCACTTCAAGACTATAGATGGTGGATGAATTTCAGTTTGGGGAGCTGTGTCTATACATGCATTCCTAGTTCTGCCAAGCGTCATTCATCCCATTCTACATGGGAACCCTCAGGTATAGTATTTAGAGCAAACAACATCTGCTTGGCTTCTATTTGGAGTAATCTTACATTTGCAAAATGTTACTATTTAGATCTGAGAGTCATGGTGACAGCTGCTTGGATGACAACCTTTGTACTAACTCTTCCTTTCCTCCTCCCTTCCTTCACCCCACCTCCCCTTCCCCCTGCCAACAAAACCTCCATCTTCAGATCCTGATCCCCAGGGGTTTGTGCTGTGCAGTGTGGCAAACTAGGAAGAGTTACCTACCTTGTAGCTTTTTTGAAGATGCAAAATATCCTTATGGTAAATGCCTAGACTGATTATTGTTTGGGATCACCGTGCAGAACTAGCAAATACTCTGATATGTGCATGCATATATTATACCATTCCTGGCTAGTGTCCACCAAAGTATAACGTATAAAGAGTGGAGTTGAACATTTTTTTTCCCGACTAGAACATAAACGAACCCTGACTGCAACCCCAGCAATGCTTGGCAGGTGATTTCTTTGACAAAGGTATGTAATATTTTGTTGCATCATCATCATAATAATAATCCTTGCATTTGATATAGTGCCTTATCACACCGTTGAGACGTCTCAAAACGCTTCACCAATAGATGGTAAAGTGGATTGACTGTATTTTGTGTGTGAAACGCGTAACCATGAATGTGATACTAAGATATATATGATACGCCATATATGATACTCTACTATCATGTAGCGTAACAAACAATATAATGTGGCACAGCAGAGTAGAAGGCAGTTGTTTGCCAGGATATTGTTCAACCCCCATTCCATTGATCCCTAATAATAATCCCTCCAAAAAAACAACAATAATAAATTGGTCATTTTCAATCCATGACTGTTTGTGGGACATTGCTGTGCGAAATTGGCTGCCGTGTTCGCCCACAAATATACAGTCAATTCACTTTACAGTGTGTTCTGTGAAGCGCTTTGGGATGTCCTCCCGACGTGAAAAGCGCTATATCAAATGCAAGGATTATTATTATTATTATTATTATTATCCCACTGAATCGGAGCAGAAGTGAGGCTACTCTATGTGAGGGTAGATTGTCCCCCAGCTGCTTCCTCGTAGCCATGTCAGTATGGAATTGGTAGAAGCCTAGAGCCATGTCTCCTTGGCCTGTTCTCATATCAACAGGTCATAATGTATGAGCTGAGGAGAAAAATAAAGGAATCTGTTACTCTTACCAACAGAATAAAAGATTACTATTTCACTAATTCTGCTCTCATTTCTTGTGTAGACTTTTAAGATTTTTATTTTTAAATTGTTGGCATTCGTAAAGTGCTCTGAAATCCTTTATTAATAAGATTGGATATTCTAGACAACAACATGATATTGCTGTAAATAGCTCCAAAGACTACGTGAGGTTTCCATTATTAGAATTGTTGGCCGGCTGATCAAAACTGACACTGTAATTCAGTTTCAATTTAAACTGACACTAAAAGTCCCACAACAATAGCTCTACCCAAATAGAACAGGAGTCCATGACCTGAGTTTCTGTGTGATCGTTATGCTGATCATATTATGTTCATGAAAATACCTGGTTAAGTGGTTATTGAATTCTTTACTGACTGCTACCAACTATCCAGCTGCAATCGGTCATTCAAACAAATGTTTTACTTGATCCAAAACGCCTTCATGAGCATCCTTACGTAAAGGCTCCATAGATGATGTCAGAAAAGCTACAATTTGGAATAAACACTATGCATTTAGAAAACATAACTATTGAGACTTGACAGCTGTGGGTGATAGCCTTTGCCCAGTCCATCCTAGCATCTATGATTTCATAGTTTTGAAAGTAGTGGTTGTAAAATAGTTCCTTCATACTGAACACACAAAATCATTTTTTTCACATTTTGCAAATCATGTGCTGTGCATATATTATGTACGATTTAATGACTGGGAAATTGTTATTATTCAAGTTGACAGTTGATCATTCAGTTGATTTGTATGTTGAAACAACCTTGAACTCAGCAACTTCATAAAATAAGTTTCCCTAAATAGTTTGCTGTGGGTTTTGTGACCTATGCCTTTAGCTATGAAAGGGAGCTTTTATGAATGATTAATTGCTGGATTGACCAAAGTACTTAGCTGACATATTAAAGGATACTTGATACACGTAGAGAGTCTCTCAGAAACCAATTGCCCGCATTTAATAATTTGGAAGTGATTTTGAATATTGGAATATTATGTAATATGCACACTTCTCAACTATAAAGTGAAAGCAGATGCTATTACCTTACAAAATACCCATTAATGCAACAGGTTAGTTTCAGTGTTTGAAAACCAAAATCCAAAGCCGCTGTACAACAGTGTTCAGGTTTAATTCTTTATCCTGTAGGATAAGCTCTCCGATACACTACCCCACATGAAGGACATTATATAAATGCAAGTTGTTGTTATGTTTTTATTGAAGCTATTCTCTTCAAAAGCTGTCTTTCTGCAGCAAAACTATCAATGTGGGAAGCTAAAGAAGTGATCAAATGGAAAATGGTGAATGGTCTGAAATCCACAGTTGATGCACTCTGTAACACACACACACACAGCATATCACTTTTGCTTCTTTGGAGAAAATGATCGGTCTGATAGTTGAGAGAGTAAATAGATTGGCATGACAAAAAAATTGCACTCAATAGCTAAATCAGGAAGACAAAGCAACAACCTATTTCAGCCAAAATGATTGAAAGTAAGTGTGTCTTTTTTATATAACAGAAGCAGTGGAACATAGTTCCTGTTAATGCAATGAAATTTCTACATGTTAAGTTAACATGTACAGCCACCATTTGTACAGTTAAATAAATCACTCCATTAAACAGTGCAACAAGTTCATCTACTGTCAATATCTACAAAGGCAATTATGAAATATATACAAATGCTTGCAAATCTTGAGTTTGAAAATAATTCCACAAATGTGCTTATACAGTACCCAGCACAGCTTATATTTTGTATGCTTCTTAAGCAAGAATTCAAAGCAATTGGGAAACATTGTTTTTTGTTACAAATAAAAGAAAAAACAGGCAATTTCTAAAACAAACAAAAAATTGTGGAACTTACATAAATATTGAATATTTGGTAAATAACTTAGACTATTGATATCAAGTAAATTTTCAACATTGGTCACCATCTTGCCAGTTAAAACTATTCATGTTACAAAAACCTGAACAATATATGTCTATATATTATATTGAATTTTTCACGCTCATATCGATGAAATGTACATGCATGCGTGTGCTGCAGACTGAATTTTAAAAGCTAAAAAAAGGTTGCATTCGCTATCAGCATTTCTAAGTATTGGCTAAATTGCAGGCAGCATGATTAGAAAGAGAAAATACAGCATTAGGACTCTGAAGAAAAGTGGTTAAAACTATATTCTTTTGTTGTAAATGATTTCCAATTGGTATGAATACAAACAGAATGATACTGAACATACAGTACATAGTACCAGTACATATAAAAGTGTTTTCTTAAGTATCCTTTTGACGTGTAAGGCAAGACCAGATTTTTCCAAACACAGTCAACTACAAGTACGAGCAAGAGTGGATTTAACCAAGATTTTTTCTTTTTAAAAAAAAGTTGTGCATGCAGAACATAAACTTCGAGAAAGAAGTAAACTCTTTATGTGCTGATCTAACCTTGCTGAATACACAGGAGAGTTCAAACCTTTACTATGTTGCTTAAGAACATTAACAGTAGTTTGAGAGTAACAGATATTGTTCAGCTGGCAACGATCCGAAAAATAGCTTCAAGCACAGTACAACACCAGGATATCTGCAATTGTACCATGTTTTAGCAATACTGAAAAATATGAAATATTATTTCACCTTTACTCATGCTGTTGCCGTGGAAGCAACAACTGTATGAAATAGCTCTTGAAATATACAGTAACACATTTGCAACAGACAAGGAGAGGGTAATCAAGGTAAATATCTTTACACAAAAACTGCGTAACATATGAAGGAACACAAATAGGGGTGCCTCGCAGGCAAGTGTTACTGGCGGATGTACACATCTCGGTTCCACTCACTGACGTCATTCCTTTTTTTCGACACAACATCACTATCCCGTTCGTAGTATCGATCCTTTGATTTATGCCGACTCCGCTGTTTGTTACGTTCATTGTGGTCCTGTTCTCGGTCTCGTTCCTTCGACCGATGTCGTGATTCTCTGTGCCTGTGGTCACTGCCACCTTGTACTTCCTCCGTGTGATTGTGGTCCTGGTGCGTACCGTAATGATCCCCGTGGCTTTCTGTGTAATCATCCTTTGGTTCTATATATACAGAATCCCTGCTGTCTTGCATTTCTGAGTCAAATGTTTCCTGTCTGGACAGTCCCCGGCTTGCAGCACTACGGTGATTGTGGTGGTGTGCGGAAGATGAAGGTCGGTGATGGGACTTTTTCACCGGTTCAGTTTGTTTCTCCTCCTCTATGGAAGCAGTCCTCTCAGGTGCTGATCGCTCGGGTTTTGTTTCTCCCTGTGTACCCTGGTTAGTACCACACCATGCAACAACCATGTTAGTCAGAGCTTCACACTTCAAGAATCATTGCCCTTCAGTCCGATTAGTTTACAAGCTGATAAACCACACAAATCATTTCCTAAATCTAGCAGTAGCTTCATACTAAATTTAGATGAAAGACAGACAACTGGTTTAAGGCACGTTTCAAAATATACCTCTTTTTACCGTGCTTTTTTGGTTTTTTGGTTAACTTGCCCCTCCCTCAGCTTCCACCCGCAGCTTGGGTGCCTAGCCAACACTGTCAAGCACTTTGAGATGTCCTCCCAATGTGAAAGGCGCTATATACATGTAAATTCTATCACTAGTCACTTTCCCTCACGACTGAAACTAAATGTTAATTTAATACTGGTCAACTGTATCAAATCAAACCACTAAAATCTGACGAAGGGTCGTGGCCCCGAAACGTTGACTCACTTTCCTTTCTGTAATTTACAGCTGGAACCATTTATAGAGCGTAACCCCATTGTAAGATAAGGTAAGCTAGAGCGCGCAAGTTTGCTTACAGTGCCTGTGGGCCTGTGGTACCGGAAGTATGGTACACCTCTGACTTCCGGTGTGGACTGGTGAACTCCCTGTGCATGTGCACAGTGCTAGATCCAGAAGTGGTACCAGTGACCATTCATTTCCCCAGATCTGTTGAGCACGAGATCTACTTTTCTGGACGTAAAACAGCACATTATAACGGGCCTACTCAGGTTTGCCCCCTGACCTGTTCCTCAGATACATTGACAATTGTGTTGGGGCTGCAGTTAGCTGGAAAAATTCACCAATTTCACTTCCAGCCCTCCATAACATTCACATGGTCCATCTGCGACACTTCCCTTCCCTTCTTCGACTTCACCATTTCCATCTCGGGGCATAGATTATCAACAGACATCTTTTACAAGCCCACCAACTCCCACAGTTATCTGGACTACACCTACTCCCAAACCGTCTCCTGTAAAGACTCCATTCCCTTTCCCAGTTCCTCCACCGCTGTCGCATCTCCTCTGACGATGCCACCTTTCACGCCAGAGCAACTGAAATGTCTTTCTTTTTCCTCGACCGAGGATTCCCATCCACTGTAGTAGGCAGGGCCCATGACTGTATCTGCCCTATTTCCTGCACCTCTGCCCTCACACTTTCCCCCTCTCCCCAGAATCGTGATAGTCCTCACCTTCCACCCCACAATCAATAATTCTCCACCATTTCCGGTACCTCCAGCGTGATCCAACCACATATCTTTCCTTCCTCTCCCCTCTCAGCATTCCGAAGGGATCGTTCCCTTGTGACTCCCTGGTTCATTCCTCCATCACCATCAACAATTGCTCTCCTCCCCCCAGCACCTTCCTATGCCAGTGCAGGAGATACAATACCTGCCCTTTCACCTCCTCCCATGCCGCTGTCCAGGGGCTCAAACACAGTTTTCTAGTGAGACAGTGATTTACGTGTACTACCACCAATGTAGTTTACTGCATTTGCTGCTCATGATGTGGTCTCTTCGACATTGGGGAGACGAAACGCAGATTGGGTAACCGATTTGCCGAAAACCTCCGTTCTGTCTGCAAGCTTCCGGTTTCTTGCCACTTCAACTCTCCATCCCACTTATACTCTGACCTCTCCATCCATGGTCTCCTACTCTGATCCAATGAACCACAGCGCAAGCTCAAGGAACAGCACCTCACCTATCTGCTAGGGACCTTACAGCCCTCTCCTCAATATTAATTTCAATAATTTCAAACCATAACAGCTCACCTTCCCCCTCCCTCTCTTCTGTGACCATTACCATATCACGTGGGTCCCAGACACACCTTTTTCTCTCTCTGGTCTGCCTATTTTGTTGTAACTCCACCCCCCCCTTGTTTTGCATTATTAACACCGCTTTTCCCCTGTTTTTTTGCAAACCCCCCCCTTTGTTTTGCATCACTAACACCTCTTTAACCCATCATCCCCCGTCCTCTACTCCACTTTCTCCTTTGTCTTCTTTGCCCTGCCTCCCCCCCTCTCTCTGTTAGTCCTTTAAAGGCCAGTGGCCCTCTGCCTTAAGCACTCAACAGCTATTTATTGGGTTTACTTTGATGATTAATCACAGTTACCACAAACAGGGTTAAGTGATGTTCTCATGCAAAGCTCCAGCCTGTTATAAACATGTAGGCAAAGAAACCTAGGGGTATTGTCTCAGATGCTATCCTGAAGTTGAGAGGTAATCAAATGTTTCCATCTCCAGCATGATCTGATTGTTCTGAATCTCTGTCTTCCTTTGTCCTTCTTCCTCTGTGTCCCAGAAATAAAGGTTGGGTTGGAGAGAAGTAAGAACATGTACCTGTAAATTGGAGACTGGCGCTGGGCTTGTGGGAAGGGCTGCAGTTGCAAGTGTGCGGCTGAGGAGAGGGTTGGGAGGGTTGCTGCTCGGGGGATGTGTAGCCCTCCAGTAAGCTTCCAGGTAGTCAGATAGGTGTTCACAGGCATCTTCCAGCTGATTTTCATCCAGAATCACGTCGAACATTTCCTGTCAAAATTCAGAAAGTTTTTTAAAAGGCGTATTGTTTGACAACAACAACAACACACTGCATTCATATAGTGCCTTTCACATCGGGAGGACATCCCAAATTGAAACCTAAAATGCTCTCACCCTTCGAACATTCTTCCCCGCATGAAGGGTGCTTTAGAAATGTTTTGGTTGCTTTTTAAAGACAATATCTGTATTCTGTGTGGTCAAAAGTTCAAATATGTTCCTTTCCATTTCATGCTTAGGAACGTTTCATATCTGTAGTTATTGATAAGTGGCAAATTTTAGTCTTTCATTTTATAGTTTACCAGGCTCCACAAACATATTATCCCCATTCTCACCAGGCTCCATTGACTCCCGTATTCTCTAATGGATTCACTTATCATTCTAGCCTTCAAATGCGTCTATGACCTTGCCCCAGCTTACTGCTGTTCTCCTCTGGTCCCATTCCCTTGCCTGCCTCTTCCTTCTCCATAAATTCAGGCATGCTTCATGTCTCAAACTACTGCCCCATCTCCAACCTCCCTTTCCTCTCCAAGGTCCTGGAATAAGTTGTTGCTTCCCAGCTTCTCTCCTTCCTCTCCCGCCACGCCTTTCATGAAACCCTCCAATCGGGTTACCATACTGCCCACAGCACAGTAACAGCCCTAGTCAAAGTGACAAATAATATTCTATTCATCAGCGACCAGGGCTTCTTCTGCCTCATCGTTATCCTTGACCTCTCTGCTGCCTTCGAACACTGTCGACCGCTCTATCTTCATCCATTGCCTCTCCTTTCACCTCTGTCCTTGACTGGTTCAGATAGTACCTCTCACAGCACTACATCTCCACAAATGATTTCTCCTCTAGCCCCCGCACCATTTTGTGCAGCGTTCCTCAGGGCTCTGTTCTTGGTCCCCTCCTTTTCAATATCTATATGCTCCTTCTTGGTGACATCATCTGCAGACATGGGGTCAACTCACTCTGCCTCTGCCCCTGACTCCAGGACCATTGCTGTCCTGACACAATGTCTGTCAGACATCAAGTCCTGGATGAGCGCTAATGATATGTTCTCTTGATTGACTCCTAGTCAGTGCCTCCACCTCAGGCGCTAACAGCATCACCAGCCATGGCTGCACACTCCACCTTACTAAGCGAGTCCAGAACCTTGGCGTCTTGTTTGACCCTCAACTATCCTTTCTATCCCTCATCTGTGCCATGACCCGCTCTGCCTTCCTCCACCTCCGCAACATCGCCCAGCTTCGCTTCACATCGCAGGCCACCGAAACCCTCAATCACGCTTCCATTACATTGAGGCTTGAGTATACAAACTCCTTGTTTGTCGGCCTCCCCAACTCCTCCCTTCATAGGCTGCAGATCATCCAGAACTCTGCAGCCTATGTCCTCTCCTGCACCAGGCTCCAAGAGCCTATCAACCCCATTCTCACCTGACTCCATTAACTTCCCATCGCACAGAGGATACAGTTCAAGATCCTGGTCCTCACCTTCAAGGCCCTCCATGGTCTTGCTCCCCTCTACCTCTGTGACCTCCTAACCTCCTACCATCCAGCCTGCTTCACGTCCCCCGCCTCGCTTGCCACTATTGGCAGGTGGACTTTCTGCCACACTGCCCCCACCCTCTGGAACTCCATCCCCCAGTCCCTCCACCACAGCCGCTCTCTTGCCTCCTTCAAGACCCATCTCAAGACCCTCCTCTTTGACCATGCTTTCTATCACCCTGCTTCCCCCCCCGCACCCCACCTTCCCCATTCCCGACACCCAGCTCAGGTCCGAAACTCTGACTGTCCAGCACCTTGGGATGTCCTCTCAATGTGAAAGGCACTATGCAAATGTAATTTTGTTGTTGTTGACCCTCCATTATTAGGAAAGCTTAGTTATTCTGTCCTTGTTCTCTGCAACTGTCTCCCTAAATCTCTGTACTTCATATCCCCCATTCTGCTTTCAAAATCTTTCTAAAAACTATTTATTGGACTGCAACATTGGCTACTTCCCTGCTACCTCTCCCCCTCCTCCCACCATGCTTTGGCTTTCATTCCATCTATAAAGAACTTTGAGAAGTTTCCCTTTGAGAAAGGCACTTTGCAAGTGTAAGTTATTACTATTGTAACTTTTATCATTGAAATGAAAAGTCAAAGTTATTGCGCTAAAAAGTTTCGAATGAAAGAGTTATTTTGGATTATCAAGTGGGCATTCCCAAAAGAAAGATGAAGGAGGTATTAAGAAGCATCTTCATATCCTAATTTAAGATGGATCCTGTCATTTAATAAGCTTTTAATTTGATCTGGTTTCAGACAATCGAGCCATAAAAGCACTGTACCTACACCGCCACCACTGCATGGAAAGCACAGTTGAAGTAAGCAGCCTTTAATCTTTGGAAACCCCTGTAAAATATGCAAGGCCCCTGGCTTAGATGACATTCCCACATATGTCAGTAGAAGTAAAAATAGGCTGCTGTGTCGCAGATGCTGCTGACTCATCTTGGCGTAGTTGCATGAGTTCCAGCAGTCCCTATAATGCCAAAAAGCCCTCTGGTGCCTCACTCACATGGCTATTCTTTATGTAGGAGTGTTAACAGACTGCTTAGCTGATGTGGATGGTAGTCTGAACTATATGCCAGTTGATCCTGCCCTTCCCTAACATCAACCACAACAACAACAAAATTACATTTATAGAGCGCCTTTCACATCGAGAGGACGTCCCAAGGCCTTGGACAGTCAGGGGTCAGGACCCGAGCATGTGGGAAGGATGGGGTAGGGGTGAGGGAACGCAGAGAGGTGGGAGGGCGACCGAAGGCACGATCGAAGAGGAGGGTCTTGAGACCGTCCTTGAAGAAGACAAGGGAGGAAGCGAGATGAAGGGACTGTGGGATGGAGTTCCAGAATACGAGGATAGAGAGGCTGAAAGCCCGGCCATCGATGGTAGGGTGGGTCGTGCAGGAGACATGGAGCAGGCTGGAGCCCGCTGAACGGAGGGAGCGGGCAAGTTGGTAGGGAGGCAGCAGGTTAGAGAGGCAGGAGGGGGCAAGGCCATGGATGGCCTTGAAAGTGAAGATGAGGATCTTGAATTCGATCCTCTGAGGAATGGGGAGCCAGTGGAGTCAGGTGAGAGTGGGAGTGATGAGGTCACTGATTCAGGTGTGCGAGAGTACACGAGCTGCAGAGTTTTGGATGATCTCTATCAATGCACATACATTGTTTCTTGGAGAAGTGTTGGTTGTTATCAGAAACAGATCCTGACTGATTCCACTCACCTGCAATGTTTCCATTGTCAACCTAACTAGCGAGTATTAAACCGGTTAGCTTCCTGGCTTATATACTAATACTTGGCTCAATTTGACTCAATGGTACATTTTTGTTTGCTGGCTACTCAGCACCTTGATTTTCTATGGGGCACAAATTATCAAAATTCTGAAGTACAGTTTGTTCGTCGAGATATATTTGTATTGATGTATTGCATTTTCTGCAAGCCTTCGAATTAACATTAGAAAAGCTCTTGGAATCCTTCTTATTTCTGAGCTGATGGTCGTGTGGTATTGAATGGTGTATATTATATGCAAAAATATGAAGTACTCACTGGAGGACACTGAGCCAGCTTGTCGGCTGCAACCATTTGGACATTCAGGTGTTTAGCCTGGGATTTTCCTCTGGACTTTATTAATCTTTGTAAAACCTACGAGGAAGTTTCAAGGAGAAGATTAATAAGTTGCCACAAACGTTCAGCAAACGTAACTAGCATTTGACAAAATGCATATAAAATATTAATACTATTAATGCTTGCATTTGATATAGTGCCTTTCATATCAGGAGAATGTCTCAACATGCTTCACAGGATTTGTCTATAAAAGTGCAGTGACTTTGTATTTTGTAAAAAAACGTATTAAAACATCTAAACTGACCAGTTGATGCAAGAATTATCGTATGTATAAGTGAATCAGTAAATTGAGTGGTATTTAGCAACTCATAACTGCTTGCCCTTTGGGTGTCAGCTTTGCTCAGTTGGTAGCTGTTATTTCTGAGTCAGAAGGTTGTGCGTTAAAGCTCACTCCCACTTCATGGGACTTTTAACTTACAGGCTAGGCTGCTGCTCCACTACAGTGCACGGGGAGTTAGCTCTACAATCTTAAAAGCGCTGTCTTTTGCATGAGATGTTAAAGCAAGTCTGCAAATTATGACATTAAAGATACCATAGCACTATTCAAAAAGAGAAGGGAGTTTCTCCTGATGTGCCAGCCAACAATCCTCCAGATAAAATCTGTCATTCACTTTATGGCCGATTGTGGGACAATGCTGTGTGTAAATTGGCTGTCATGTTCGCCTACAAAGTATACTTTACAGTAAAATCCTATCCAGGACTTCGAGGCATCCTTCTGATGTGAGAGGATGATTATTATCATTTAGTAGGTAAGATTGTGGAATTACAGTTGATAGTTACAATTTATAGTTTAATATCAAGAAGCACGAAGAAAGAATTACAGAAACACTTGTTTAAAACAAATGATACAGACTCACAAGCATTCATAAAGAAGAATTTACCTTTGGAGAAGAAATCTTTACGTAGACTATAATGGGAGCCAGGGACGTTTTACCCAACTGAGCTGGATGATTGATTGTGTCCGCATCAAGAACCACCAACTGCAATGTTCTTGCCAGTTCAAAAATCCTTTCAATTTCACTCTGCACTTCAGCTACAATGGAGGAGTTAAAAACACTTCAATCAATGCAAAAAATCTACAAACTTCAAAATGTTTAAGTGATTTCCAGGTTCTCTGAACACAATTTATAATGTAATATTAGGTACAATTCTTTTAACCACTTGAATCAATACAGAGAATATGTTGTCCTCAGGTAGCTGAAGAGAATCTGACTTTTTACCCTTTCTATTTGTTTTAGAATTGAGAACAAGAATTCATTGCTACTTTTTTTTCCTTGTGTCACACATCAGTTGTAGCTAACTCAAGTTGATCTTGTCTCAAGTCACTGCCAATGGTGATTGGAGCTGGCTACTAGTTGTCTAGTAATACTCAGCCTTGAGAGAAGACACCATAGAAGAGATCTCATAGAGGTGTATGAAATGTTAAATGGGATTGAAATACCGTAGTAAATCCAGAAAAATTCTCTAGAATGTACCAAGTCAGTAGAACACAGTACATAGATTTAACGTTGCAATGGAGCATTTTTTGAACAGATCCTAGGAAGTTTTTCTTAGATGGATAGAAAGGTTAGAAAAACACACAGAGAGAATCAGAGAGAAAGAATCAGAGCGAGAGGGATAGGCTGAGAGAGAGTGAGAAGAGCTGACAGTAAAACTCCTGACAGAAGAATTTGTGCTAGTACTGTAGCCAATTTGTATCCTGCGTCAAGATCTATTATCTGCATCATTTCCATATCTTCAATGGGTCTGGCCCCAATTTGCGAGGATAATGACCTTTCTACTGTATCTATTGTTATACTGCCTTATCGCACCTAATTTTCATCAAGCGCAGTGGCCATTCAGTAGGCAAATGTCACATTTATTTTATAGTCGCACGGCCCACAAATAGCCATGTGGCTAATGGACAATTATTCAGGAGGACTGGTGGCCACAACTCACAGTTACTTTAAATCAAGTTCCTCACCAAGCATCTTGTCCAAAGATATATGAGACAAGAGCGGACAATCTGAAATATCACATTTCCAAATACATCACTGGAGACTACCACAGGCTCAGCTGGAAAATGACTGTGAAATAGCCTTTTACATCACTAACAAAATCTTGCATTTATATAGCGCCCTTCAGGCAGGTAGCATCTTGGAACACTTAACAACAACAACAAATTGCATCTATATTGCACCTTTCACATAGGAAGGGTCCCTAGGCCCTGGACAGTCAACTATTTGTCCTGAGCTGGAGATTGGAATTGAGGAGGAGGAGGATGAACAAAGGCACAGTCAAAGAGGAATGTCTTAAAATGGGCCTTGAAGGAGGCAAGGGAGGGTGGAAAGGTGAAGGGGTCTTGGATGGAGGCCCAGAAGATGGGAGTAGAAAGGCTGAAGGTGGGTAGGACAAGGACATGGAATAGGCCAGGGACATGGAGTAGGCCAGTGCCAGCCAAGCGGAAGGAGCGGCCAGATGGGTAAGGTTTTAGCAGGTCGCAGAGGTAGGGAGGAGCAAGTCCATGGACAGCTTTAAAAATGTGGAAGAAGATCTTAAACTCATTCCTCTGGGGAGACTGTGAAGTTGGGTGAGGATGGGGTGACAGGTTCATGGATCTTGGTGTGGGAGAGGACACAAGCTGCAAAGTTCTGAATAATCTGTAGCTTGTGTAGGTAAGATTGGGAAGTCTGGCGAGCAAGGAGTTGATAATAGTCAAGCCTATGCGTGACAAAAGCGTGGATAAGGGGCTTAGGAGCCAGAGGTGAGAGTTAGTAGCAGAGGTGGTTAATGTTGTGGAGATGCGGAAGGCAGAGTGTGTCATGGCATGGATGAACTTTAAGGTTAATTAATGGAGAGTGAACTTTAAGAAATTCAGTCGGAGGCCAGCCTTTCATCGCTAGTAAATGCAGAGTGCTGCACTTGTTATCTGCCGTTTGCAGATGGATTTGGTTAAGAGATTAATAGTCCAGAGCAGATGTGGTTGGCAAAAGGCAGAGAGTGGGCACAGATTAAATAAGTCTTTTGATTCTTTTTTTTCATAAATGGAGTGTTCGTGTTAAGCATTTAGAGCATTCGTTTCGCAAGCGAGAGACCTGGGTTTAATTCCCAGCCGGGCAAAATGTTGGGCAAGTTTCCTTACTCCGCATGCCTCTGTTTACCTAGCTGTAAGTAGGAACCCGGTTCTTAGTCGCTTTTCCAGGGGTAATAAATAATTCCTTCAAAAAAATAATAATAAATTGGTCACTCAATCCACAATTGTGCAAACGTTTCGCCCACAAATTATACAATCAAATCACTTTACAGTATATTCTGTGAAGCACGTTGAGACGTCTCGGAGACATGATAATGTGCTACATGAAATGCAAGGATTATTATTATTATGTGGGATTTTAAGGATGGCTGATGGTCAAACAAGACACCAAGATTCTGTACCAGCTCAGTGAGGTGTAGAGTGTGTTTCAATCACACAAACGATGTGTGATTGAAAGACTCAAGAGTGAAGAGGACTGGATCATTTCCTAAGGCAGGAAGCCTTATCTGTACAACTGTGCTTGAAAATTCATTATTTAGTTTTCTGCCACATTGGGGCTGAAACATTGTTTGTTGGGTAAACAGAAGCACAAGTGGGGCCTCAAGATATAATATTCTTTCTTTTGACATAGTGTCTTTTATATATTGCCTTTTCATAGGAATTATTGTAAAGTGTAGTCACTGTAATTTGTAGGCAAATCCTGCAGCCAATTTGTACACAGCAAATGTCCCACAAACAGCCCTGAAGTGAATGACCTATTTTATCCCAGATATTGTTGGCCAGGACATTGGAACAAATACTTCTCTTTTTGAATAGTGCCACAGATCTTTAATAATAATAATAATCCTTGCATTTGATGTAGCACTTTATAACATCTTCAGGACGTCTCAAAGCACTTCACAGAATGTACTGTAAAGTGAATTATCTATAGATTTTATGGGCAAAACGCAGCAGCCAATTGCGCATAGCAGTGGCCCACTAACAGTCATGGATTGAATTGACCAATTTATTATTTTTTTTATATAATATCCATCTGAGCAAGCACATAGCTCCTCAGTTTACAGTCTCATCTGAAGGACAGCCCGCTCTCCCAGCACTGCATTGGAGTGTCAATTGGACTGTGAGCTCAAAGTCTTGACATGGAACCCACAACCTTCTTCTAGAGGTGAGAAATGCTAGTGAGGTATAGAGAGCATCCACAAATAGTGATGCTGTCAGTACCTACGGAGGGGAGGCACTGATGGGAGCTTATCAGGAGGGCCTCCGTCTGGTTGACATTCAACTGGAGAAAGTTAGCTCTCGTCCAGAACTTGATGTCTGACGGGCAATCCCTTAGGACAGCAGTGATCCTGGAGTCAAGGTTGGAGGCAGAGAGATAGAGTTGAGTGTCATCTGCATACATATGGATGTTAACCCCATGCCTGCTAATGATATCACCGAGTGGGAGCATTTAAATATTAAAAAGCACGACCAAGGACAGAGTCCTGAGGCACACTGCACATGGCGGTGTGGAGGCTAGAGGAGAAGCCGTTACCGGATACAATGTGGAGACGATGGGAAAGGTAAGAGTGAAATCAGGCAATGTCAGATCCATGAAGGTGAAGTTGAAAAGAGAGACGGTGGAGAAGCATAAATTGGTCAATAGTGTCGAAGGAAGCAGAGAGATTGAGAAGGATGAGGAGGCAGAGAGAGCCCTGGTCACAGAATGTCATTTGTAACTTTGACTAAGGAATTCTCTGTACTGTGAGTAACATGGAAACCAGATTGGAGAGGTTCCTAAAAGGAGTGGTAGGAGATGAAAGAGTGAAGCTGGGAAGCAACAATATTCCAGGACCTTGTAAAGGAAAGGTTGGAGATGGGACGGTAGTTAGAGAAGAAAGGTAGGTCATGGGACGTTTTTTTGAGGGTGAGGGCAATGACGGCTGTTTTTAAGGGGGAGGGAGCTGTGCTAGTGAACAGAGAAAGGTTGACAATGTCTGTTAGTAGGGTTGCAAGGAGGTGGAACTGGGAGGTGAGGAGAGGGCTAGGGATGGGATCAAGATAGCAGGTGATGGGCTTCATTTGGGAGATGATCGAGGTGACAGAAACCGGGGCAGCGGGGTCAAAAGTGTGGTGTCAGAGATAGGTGAAGGCCAGAGGGGCGGAGGTAATGGGTGGCTGCGGAGTACATTTTGGAGGAGAAGAACAAAAAAGAAATGGGTTTTTGGGACATAAACAACAACATTGCATGTATATAGCGCCCTTGAAATAGGATAACATCTCAGAGCATCTCATTGTGGCGGGATTGGAAATTGAGAAAGAGAGAAGAGGGAGATGACCTTAGGCATGGATGAAAAGGTAGATTTTAAAGTGGGATTTTGAGAAAGTCCTATAGAGTCCTGTAGCTCAGTGGTTAGAGCACTCGCCTCGCAAGCGAGAGACGTGGGTTCTATTCCTGGCAGGGCAAAATCTTTGGTAAGTTTCCTTACTCCATCCGCCTGATAATAATCCATCAAGAAAAAAAACAATAATAATCAGATGGATATTATATTTAAAAAATTGGTCAATTCAATCCACGACTGTTTGTGGGTCACTGCTGTACGTAATTGGTGCCGTGTTTCGCCCACAAATATACAGTCAATTCACTTTACAATATATTCTGTGAAGCGCTTTGAGATGTCTAAAAGACGCAAAAAAGCGCTATATCAAATGGAAGGATTATTATTATTATTATAGATCAAAAGGGGGCTAGAAAGATGGATAGTATCAATGAGTTCTAAAGGTTAGGTATACAGTGACTGAAGAATCAAACGATTCTTCTCCAGGAAACCAACCTCATGTACATTGTACCAACCCATAATATTCCAGCTCTGATCTGAAATGTTATCAGAGCGGCATTTCTCATGAGGTTTCATGATGCACGTAGACTTTCTTGGAGGAAACACATTAATTCCCAAAGTACTTTTCCAGTACAAGGTGCCAATTACGCAGCCCACTTCCCTGCCAAGCACTTAATAGTTTTGATTGTCTTAAAGATGTCATGAGCTGCAGATCAACTGTGTCCATCACTTCAAGTACAATGAGTGGAACCAATCTGTCAGAAGATTTCAAAGGTGTTAGCGCTGAGAAGACAGAGGAGCAAAGAATGCACCCAGCCAAAGGGCAAACATAAACAGAAAGAGCAAACCTTACGTCATATACCTACCCAAAGCATCTGCAAACCGAAGGCAATAATGAAGCAAAAGAATAAAAAAAAAGCCAAGACAATCAGGTTTGTACAAAGCACAGACTTAGTTAAGAAGCAGTGGTTGCAAATAACATATTGTACATACAGCACCAACACACATATAAAAAAACATTCACCATTTACTTATGTAAAGAGTGCAGATATGCAGTACAGTCAATTTCACAGGATGGCTGGTGCAGCAAATGAAAATGTCACACTGGTTTAGTAGACAGTTCTTTGGTGAAAATGTGATCAAAGAATATTGCTGGGGCTGAATTGAAAATGCCTTAAATGTTTGAAGAGTATATAAATAAAAGAATGACACCAGTTCAAGAAATCTTCTGTTATACCTAAAGTGGATTACTGGGAAATCCCATTGTAGCGTTCTTCAATATAGACCTTCAACCACTTCACCTTTACTGCCTCTACTTATATAGATTTGACTTTACTTTACCTAACAGGAAGTGTGGTACACCAGGTTACTGGGGCTGACAGGCCTCGCAGTGAACAATGTCCGCCTTCTGGGTTGCTGGGTCACCATTGATGTAATTTTCTGCACACCTACACACATGTTTTGTGCAGCACACACAAAACGGTGTTAGTATTGTTGCCTGCACAGTGTTCCTATGCTTGCAACTTGTAGGAAGTTACATCGGCAGCAACCTGACAAGGTGCAAATCAACCATTTTTTCATGACTCACTTCATAGTCGTTGAGACACTGGATCCAGCCAAGGGCACTATAGCAAAGTTTCCCTGTATCAAATATTCATTAGTAGACATCGTGAATTTGATTTTATTGGAAATAATGTGAATTTACTGTAAAAGATATAAACAAACTCATTTAATAGTCACACAATATTTTTATTGTCTAAAGCGTACTTTGTGCAGTTTAGTTATCTGTCAGAGTTGATTCAATTGGGTAATATGTTTTGAACCTGAACACGACATACAACAACAACTTGCATTTATATAGTGCCCTAATATACAGAGTAGCATCTCAGAGTGCTGAACAATGGGTCGTTTGACACTGACCGAGGGAGTAAGGGGAGGTGACCATAGGCACAGTCTAAGAGGAAAGTCTTCAGGTGCGATCTGAAGAGGGGCAATGCGAAGGGATTGAGGCAGGGAGTCACAGAGTTTTGATCGTTCTATGATGGGGAGCCAATGGAGCCTGGCAAGGAATAGAGTAATGGGGATGCGGAGTTTGGTGCAGGTGAGAATACGGGCAGCAAAGTGTTTTTTAGGGTGAATCCAGTGACTTTGTAATTCTAGGTGATTAGGGCAAATACTCTATTCCCCTGAACTGATCTTGTTGGCGCTGATTTCTTACTGGTCAACATGATTTACATGGATTCCTAAAGGAGGTGTTCTTCATGATGTGAAGTGCATTTATCTTGACGTTTTTATGATGACTTCACTGGTTGCAAAATGAACTATTTTCTATTGCACCAGTGCAGGAAACCAATGCATACAACTGAGGACATTGGAAGCATGGAGAACACAATGAGACTCAACAATGAACATCATTAAATATTTACTAAACACTAGTTTATTTTAGCCACAGTTGTCAATTTTAGCTAGGCGTAGAAATGTGTAAACTCCACACCACGGTGGTAGACACTCAGGCTAACAGACTTACCCAAGCTGGATCTGGTGTTAGAGCGTTCGATTATTGCATGCTTACTGGGATTATTTAATACTGAGCGTTTGGCAAGGGAGATGTCAGCAGTGACCCGTGTGATTGATATCCTGCATGAAAGCAATTAAGAAAGGCGATTAACAAAAGAAGGTTTGTATTTTAACACTTAAAACTCAAATGTTGTTCTGAATAGAAGCAAAACACAACACATTACAAATGTACATATATATAGTGCCTTTCACATACATACATGGGATTGGCACATCTTGTTGTTTCATTACAAATGCCTTGGCCGTTCGTTATTTAGTAGTTTAGAAACGTTAAAATCAATGGTGTTGTAGAGCAGCACTGATGTAACATGCTTATTGCGTGAATACGGTTTTTAACATGGTTGGACTCTGGACCCATTCAAACAGCTCCCTCACTTCCCTTGCACTGTCTAGTTTTCACGTTAAAATCAGCAACGTCCAGGTTATCAGGTGGCCGCCAATATCACATCCTGGTTTACACAGCAAACAGGAAATGACATTGGCAGCAACCTGATGATAAAAAAGCTGGACATTGTTCAGCTTAGTGTGTGAACTGGCCAGCCTGCAGGGAACAAACCAGGCTATGCATTGCTGAGTTTGTGACACAAATGCTGTGTGATTGAAATACTCAAGAGGTTGAAGAGGATGGGATCATTTCCTCAGGCAGGAAGCCTTATCTATACAATTGTGCTTGAAAATCTGTAATTTAGTTTTCTGGCAAAGTGGGGCTGAAACGTTGCTCATTGAGAAAACAGGAGCACAAACGGTGCCTCGATATATAATATTCTTGCTTTTGATATAGTGCCTTTTACATCGGGAGCACATTTCAAAGCATTTCATAGGATTTATTGTAAAGTATAGTCACTGTAATTTGTAGGCAAATCCTGTAGCCAATTTGCACACAGCAAATGTCCCACAAACAACCATGATGTGAATAATCTATTTTATCCCAGATATTGTTGGCCAGGATATTGGAACAAACACTTCTCTTTTTGGATAGTGCCACAGATCTTTAATATCCATCTGAGCAACAAGATAGCTCCTCGGTTTACAGTCTCATTTGAAGTACAATTCAGCACTCTCCCAGCACTGCATTGGAGTGTCAACCTCGACTGTGAGCTCAAATTCTTGATATAGAAGCCACAACCTTCTGCCTCAGAGGTGAGAGATGCTTCCAACTGAGCCAGACTGACACGTATTAAATAACATACACGGTGTTCCCTGGATAAGATGCACTTTATGTCACTGAACGCATTTTCAGATCCAATGCTATAATAGTAAATAATAATCCTTGCATTTGATATACCGCCTTATCACGTCTTTGAGACGTCTCCATTGCTCCTTTCATCCCGTCATTTCCCCAATGAGTGTTTATTGCAATCCCCCTCCACCGCCAGGGAATGGGATGTCAACATTGTTGGGTCATTCTTTGAAAGGTGATGGTGTAACACAGAAAGTGGGCCTGCACCTTTAAGAACACTACTCTCTCTTCAGCTGTGGGCAAAAAGAAATTCAAAATGCTAAATCGTTCTGACTGTGACATTTAAAGCATTCAATGTGAGCGTTAGGACAGATGATAGCCAGCAGCACAGAGAGGGCTTTAGTCCACCCATAGCTCCTTCTTCACTTATTAAATAAAAATAAAATTCTGTTTACAATAGAGAATGTTCTGCTTGGCAGCACTTACCTTCCTTCGAAGCTGTGTTTCAGAAAGTCAAAAAGTGCTTTTTGCATCATGTCCGTCACCTAAAGAATAGAACGCAATGTAAAGTTAAACCTTATGTAGAAACAAACGAAGAACTTAAAGCCTAGATAGCAACTGCAAGAGCAATCTCTGCGTTGGGACCAAACTTTTTTTAAAATAAAATATAGATGAAAAAGTTTCAAGTATAATATCATTACAATCTTTGCTTGAAATATTTCCTGGTTTCGACTATGAGACTTAAAAATCATACAGAATTTTGGAAAATGTTGGCTTTGAAAGCCAGTTCTCTAGCAGTTCTTATAAAGGTTTTGCGCACGGATGTTGGTGAACACAGGGTCAGGCTCGACTGTGATGTGTCCCACGGTTGAATAGGCCTGTCAGCACTCACTGTCAAAGCCTACACTTGAATTATGGCCACTTGTGGTGCCAGAGGCACCCAGCTCCTATGAAACCATAGCCCATGCGAAGGGAAAGAAGTCAAATGCCTTCAGGTGAAGAGGTGGGGAGAAAATTGACAGGGAAGAAATAAACATTCAGAAAACAGACTGAGTTGGAGGAGCGTTCCCATGAGCTTGTATCAAGGGTTTAAGGATATCTGTTAAGAAATACTGCAAAATCACCCACATGCAAAAAATAACTTCCAAAGATCTATTCGTTTAAGTTGTGCTTTGAACATTTATTTGAATTTGAATTATAAAAGTAATAATCCTTGAATTTGATGCAGCGCCTTTCCCATCAGGAGGACATCTCCCTCCCTCCCTCCCTCCCTCCCTCACTCATCTCTTTCAAGGTCCGTCTCATGATCTACCGCTGTGACCGTGCCATTCCCCACCCCACTTTGGCTCCCACCCCCAGTTTGGGTCCGAAACCAAGAGTGTTAAACACTTGGGTTGTCCTCCCAGCATAAAAGATGCTGTGTAAATGTTAAGTTGTATTGTATTGTCTCAAAGCGCTTCACAGGATATACTGTGGGGTGTAGTGTCTGTGTACTTTTGGGTCGATTGCTATAAATGGAACATGACACATACCAAAAAAATTGTTGATTTGCTCATCACTTATATAACAAATTTTACATTTCTGTTGATAATAACAAATGCAGTCAGTGTCTGTGCTTACCTCATATCCCTTCAGAGAAGGCCCCACTAGCACTACTGGTCTCATTGAAGGCACTACATCATAGGGAGGGATGTGCTCAGTCTGTGCAAAGACAACATTTTCTCAGAAATGTTATTGACAATCTCCACTGCAAACCTAGAGGCAATGATTACGTGCCCTTGCACGGTGCTTTATTTCAGTGACACATTTCAAGCAATTGGACTATTTGCAAGGTTATATTTCTTGTAAAAATTGCTGAGAATATTTGCATAAATCAACAGTTTTTATGGCAATTTGTTGCTCTTGTTAATACGGTGAAAGTGTACATAGGTGGTTGCAGGCCTCTATGTAGAATAATAAATAATTATTGCATTTGACATTTTACCTATAATCGGAACAGAGGCAAACAGGAATAGGGGGAGGCCATTCAGCCCACTGAGCCTATTCCACCAGGTTCTTAGATTAGTTTGGATGAAGAAGGCCCTTCAACCCATCTGATCTCATCCTCCCAGAATACCCATTTCACCATCCCCTTGTCATACCATCTATCACCTTTCCTTGCAACCTGTTCCAGTCATTGATTATCCTCTGCATAAAGAAATACTTGATATCTGTCCCTAAATTACCCTAAACCTATGCCCTTGTATTATTATCTAGATACATCCATCCTAAGGTATTAATCTGGATTTACTTTTTCAATCCCATTTAAAATGTTGCACACCTAAGTTTAAAATTTTGTACAGATTTGACGATTCAGTATAAAACCTTTGTTTAAAATTGTTTAAAAACTTTGTCGGGGATTAAGCAGGACGGCAGGATCTGGGCAGAGATTGGCTATTGTAGTTGTCACTCATCAGGGAGGGCATTTCCCGATTTTCCATGTAACCAGTTTTCCCCTTTCTGATATAATGCACTATTATAGCCTTGTTTCGGAGGCTGATGAAGGATTGTGATGCCACCGTGAATTGGAGTAGGTGTTAAGTGGGCATGAGATCTGATCTCTGCGAAAATGAAACAAAGTGCACTGTGGGATTCAAAATGCTCGCTGTGAAATAAAAGTCAGCAGCTGCTGAGCAAACAAGGATCAGGAGCAAATGGTGCTAAGGGTGGCAGGAATTCACACTAGCATTGTAAATATTTAAACAGGTTAACACATGGGGACACCGCAGGAGGTTGAGAAACACTGACCGCAAAATTCGGAAGTTTTTTGCCTAGTTCAGTTTTTACAAGAAGTCCGAACCATGAAGGTTACAGGGAGTGAAATTTCACCTTGGTCCATTTTCTTAGTGCCTTAAGATTGCACAAGCTTTGACAAATTCTTAAATGTGGATGGTGTTTTTACATTTACAATAAAAAGATGGAAGGACATACTGATACAGGTTTAGCTCATATTAATGATGTGCTTTATGCACCTGGTACATATGTGGAACACTGAGTCTAATTTGAATACTCTTAAGCATGATGATGGGTTTCCGCATGTGTGGAGTATATATGGAATATACCCGGCTTATCAAAAAAATAATAATGCTTCCTGATTTTGGTAAAGGAAAGCCTTTTGTTTTCAATCTTATCAGAATCCTATAGATGCCAAGATGTCAAGTATATTCGAAGTGGCTCACGCTGGGGGAAATCAATATCTTTTATAATTGCAACAATGGAAGATTCAAAGAATATTTTTTTCCTATGTTAATTTCTTTCTTTATTATAATTGATGCTGCATTTGTGGAAAAAAACAATAATTTTACATTTGTGTAGAGCCTTTCACATTGGAAGGAATTCTCAAAGTGAAACTCAGAACATAAATAATTATTGCTTCACTTTTCATTTGCCCATTTGTTTGTCGACCCTGGTTTCATAACAAAATAAATTCACTGTACCTGCATTTTTCTAATCCTTAACTCGTGCAGTCGATATACAATAAATGTAATGTATTGAAGACAGATTAGCATTGTTTGCTTATGTTACAACTATAAGTATCGAGTTCAATTATTTCAGCAAATGATTGAATGTTATCTGTAGTGGCAGAATGAATGATAACAATTACTGAAATAGGCTGTAGGTGTGTGTGATACTATAGTAGCTAAATGAGCAGAGATATGGAGAACTCCCTGTGAACTCTATTTTGCAAGGGTGCGTGTGAAGAGAGTTAATGATTTTAGATTTAGCAAAGTAAGTCTTTTCTATAGACAATAGCTATTTTGCTTTTCAAATTGAAATCTATGACTTGATTTAGTGAAATTAAAACCTCTGATGGGTCCCTGCAGAAAGAAGCATTGGAGAAATCTGTAGGGAAGTAATTCAGATTGGAATAGATTGAAATAATTGCAGTCGAAACATATTCACTCTTTGTTTTCTTTGAGTTTCTTTGCAGTTGAAACATGATTCTGCACTGGACCACTTCCAAACAAGAGCAAAGTTTCCAAATATACAAGTTCTAAAAACAGTGGCAGCAAATGGTTCATTTTTCGGATCACACCTTAAGAACATGACACACAGCATGCTCGATCACAAAAGACAAACACAAGCATGTAGCATAACAGACACCAAGTGACAAATAACATAAAGGTTTCATGCAGGGCTCAGAGTAGGTGGACCAGGCATGTAGCTTCAATCAAGTACTCTTTTTTAAAAAAAAAACTATTTCTCAAATGAATGCAAAGGTTTAACAAAACCACTGAGACACCAGCACGATATCAACAGTGCTTTTGTTAAGGCTGCATGATAGATTGCAATGGCACCAGCAGCGTCTACTGAGGGTTGGTCTTTAAGGTCTCTTTTTAGCTGCTCGAGTAAATCAAAATAATCGCAAGTGGAATTCCTTTGACTCAATTCCATTGTAAGAATTTTTTCAGCCGTTGGAGCTCTTTCAGACTGACTGGAATGTAGTTTTCAACGCATATGGTGCCACTGACTCAACTAGGAGGTGAGAATGCAGACTTACCGATTTCTGCTTCTGTTTAGCTACAGAGACGTGGGAGAAAAACAAAGAATAGCAGAGCATGCGTGTTATTGACTTTCCACAGGGCACAAGTGGCTACAAGACTTGTTGAGTGGTGGACTGCTGGTTACCACGTGCGACAGATTGCAGCTCAGAAATAACTGTTACCTTCTTAAAGAAGGGTATTCTTTTCTCTTTAGATTGGGAAGATGTTACACTGTTTACATTGGTTAAAGGGGAGCGGTGGTTTGCTGGGGTATCATTGTCTTCTGCATCTAAGCCCATGGCATCTAGATCAATAGCTACATGAACAAACGGGTCCAGGTTACCAGGTTTCGGGTTGGGGGGGAGGAGGTGGGGGGGGTAGGGAGAGAAAGACAAAGGAATATATGAGTTGAATGAAAATGAATCATTTAAAATAAAGCAACAATATAAATAATATAACTCAAAATATGGCAACAAAATACAAATCATAATAATCCTTGCATTTGATATAGCGCCTTAACACGTCTTCAAGACCACTCAAAGCACAGAATACACTGTAAAGTGAAGTGACAGTATACTTTGTGGGCGAAATCGTAACTAATAAAACCATCAAGGTACACTACACAGAAAAAGGAACAAGAAGACAATGGGGGAGAAATTCCACCTGGGTCTAGATTTATTATTATTAGAACTCATAAAGCACAGACATTTACAACACAGAAGAAGGCCATTTGGCCCATTGCGTCTGTGTCAACTCCCTCAAGAACAATCCTTTCAGTTGTATTTACCTGCCCCTTACCCCAAAATTAATAATAATACTCGCACCTGATATAACAACTTTCAGTTAGGAGGACACCTCAAAGCGTTTCACAGGACGTACTGTAAAGTGTAGAGATTGTATTTTGCAGGTGAATCCCTACTCAACTCTATTTAGTTAGTATTTCAGAGCATGCAGAATTTGATAAATTGTTGAACTCAGTCTCAACTGTGAAGTCAGCTTTCTGCAGGTCTTAAAAGAAACTTCCAGAAAAACACTCTCAAAATTAAGACTGCGTTTAAGAATTTGCCAAACTATGTACACTCTGAAATGAGAAGAGAATAGGGTGAATCCAGGTGAAATTTTTATCCTGATATATGTAAACGTTCAACTGAAACACAGAAAAGAGGTTACTCGTTAAATTTTTACAAGTATCCGATAAATTTAAGTTATTACCCTCACCCCTAAAGGTATTGTGCCTTTCGTGTCAGGAGGATGTCCCAAATTGTTTCACAGGATATATTGTGAAGTGGAGTAAACTGTGTATTTGTGGGTAAACACGGCATCCCAATTGCGCACAGTAGTGTCCCACAAACAGCCATGAAGTGAATACAAACAAGGGTGCCCACATGTTTCAAGTCACCTGTTTCTTTAAGTGAAGGAGAGGGGAGTTGCTTGATTATTCCATTTAATAAACAATAAAGCAAAAAGGGATTTTTTTTCGAATGGAATTGATAAAATAACAACAGAAAAAAAACCTTGCGTTAATATAGCACCCTTCACATGGGGCAACGTCTCAGAGCACTTAAATATAGTGCTTAAGTTTAGAAAGTATGATTGAAAGTAACTGGTGTGACAGTTACTTTCCTGCGCTGACACCACCATTCTCAGTGCCAGTGTCCATCAAGTTTTGTTGGTCTATTCAACCTCCGTGGATCATGGCATTTGACTCTCGGCTATCGGGTTGCTAAACAAATTGCTCAACAGCAGAAAGTGTGATCACTGATTTCTAACATCTCTTTGGTAAACACAGTTTCAGTTGGAATTTCCTCTGGTTCCTCAGCTATACATTTCTATGGTTTCATAAGAACAAAATGAAAGGATGTGGAGGAAAGTCAAGAGAATAGGAGAACTAAATGGAGATATCTTTCAGAGAGTCCAAACAACTTCCTTCTGTGTTGTAAATATCTATGGTTCACTGGTCTATAGACTGTAACTCCTGCCTTTCTATCCTGTTTCTTTTAAAACAGAATACTTTCATGCATACATATACACATACACACACACAAGGAGAAGATGCACATCTGGTTAGTAGATCACTGAAAGTGATCAGAAGAAGCACAGACACACGTTATTAACCGCCCTGAAACACCAGTCCTACAGGCACCGTGGGAATGTGAACTGTGAAGTGCCGAATGATGCAGATTATAATACAATATCCTGGAGTTTTCACCCCGTTGTGTAGTCTTAGAGGGTTATAAAGTAGCTGTGGTTCTTCGACTGCCTCAGGTGATAAAATGAGTGGGGAGCATCTGTGACAGAGCAAATTATCTGCTGGAGGAGGCAGGTTCCAGGGGCCCGAGGAGCATTTCTTGTTGCTCATTTCCCTGTGTTCTTGTATCCTGCTCCTATCTTGTCAGACCAGATGAATGCAAGGACTCGTAGGTATTGGTCAAGGCAAACAAAAAATTGCTACTTATTTTACAACAACCTTGTGTTTCACTTACAAAATTCATAGGTTAAAGGGCTGTGCAGTGCACTGGAGCAACAGGTCACTGTACCATGTGGCCTACAAGATGTAAATACGCTCCCCCACCCCCAACCCCACCCCGTGGCAATGCAGACATTCCCAATCTCAACCCTGCGCTGGAGGGAAAGAACATTTGTGACATCCCCTGGGAAAAATCATAAGGAAAGTCACCTCCTATTGCGCTTTAGAGAAGCTTTGTTCGTGGTTAGGATCAGACCAGCTGTCTGCCTGTCATGGATGTAAGAGAGAGACTTACCAGATGAGGGAGGGGTCGATCGCCGGGAGCTAGGTACCATGTCACCTAAACTGGACGATGAATTTCCTCCCGATTTACTGAAAAATAGGAACTCAAATCAGAAACACTGGTTTATCATATGTAATACATTAAAAATAGTGATCTTCCCTTTTATGTCTTTACAAATGCACTGAAACTATTATTTTCTTAGTGATTCTTGCATTTTAAGACCTCATTATACTGTTAATGAACTGTGCCAGTTTGCATGAACTCTTATGGGTTGATGTAACAGAGCATTTAACATAAATCACCTCTGGGTCCTGGACTTGATTTCAGTCTAGACTGATGGGATGAAGGCCTCTTGTGTGTACTGGCTGTATGGGCACTGAATGAAAGGATATTGAATAATCATCATGCAATTCCCAGAGGCTGTGGGCTTGTATCGCCAAACTGCTCACAAAATCAGCACAAATTGACATCTAATTGGCAATTGCATTCTGGAAGGCCAAAGGAGTAACTGCATATAGGAAATAGATACATTCACTGGTGCGAAAGGAGGTACTGTACTGAGATTGGATTAAGGTACGTTGAAGTTAATTTAGCAATCCATTTGATATTTAGTACACTGAATGCCTCCAGATGTATGCATTGCTGACTCCAAGATGTGTTGCTCATCCTTTGAGACTTCACCATTGAGAATGGGGTGGTAACTGATAGAGGTGTTTAAAATTATGAAAGGATTCAATAACATTTGATAGCTCTTGGTGTGTCCAAAACTAAAGGGTATCAATTGAAGATAGTTAGTAATAATATTAATAATCCTTGCAATTGATAATAGATCTAATAGGGAGTGTAGGAGGAACTTCTTCACAAAATGGATGGTGAGAATGTGGAACTGGATATTGTGGCTGAAACTAAAAGCATCAATGATTCAAGAGAAAATGTGATCCATACATTGATAGAGGAGGGGTAAAGTTGAGAGGAATTGGAAGGGTGGAGAATTGTATGCACGCTGAGTGGACTACTTGGAATAATGGTCTGTTTTTGTGTTGTGTCACTCTGTGTAACTATGTGAAGCATCTGCCAGACGCGCATCCAGGTCTATACAAAGCTCTAACTATCAAAGGGAACATTAACTTGAACTCAGTGTTAGCAATGAGCTGCGGGAACTTTACTCTGGGCAAAATGAACATGTCTCATTTTAATAAGCTGAACAATTCAACAGAACAAGGGGAAGGAAAAATGCCACTAAAGTCGATTTGGGGTCAGTAGCTATAAATCCTTACTGCTATGAACCATCTGCATCTACCCAGGTTCTTACAGCCAACACAAGTCAAAATTTCCATGCTTTCTCGTGATTAAGCATTTAGCGATATAATTTTTTTTAAAAACTCCTCTCACTGTTTCTTGGAGGGCAACCAGACAACCTGCTCCAAGGCTTCTGCCAACCCACTTGGAGATGTGAAAAAGGTGGCCTTGGGTGAGTCACTCTTCATTTTCCTTCCTTATGTGTGACTAAGTGCCAAGCCTCTGCTCAGCATCTCTTCCCCCACGTCAAGAATTCATGATGCAGCTAACCCACACTAAATGAAAAGAGGCTTTTCTTTAAAAACAGAAGATCTTTTATCAAGAGGCTCAATTCCATAAGGCTTGACGAAGCTTGCAAGACCTCACTGCATCATCTACTCTGTGTAAGCATTGATAATTAACAATGGCAGCAGCAATATCACATCCACAAGGACGCAACTAAAAAGATTCAATACGTAACCCACCACAGGCAGTTTTGCCTTTTACAAACATTCATCACAGAACAGGCAGAACTTCAATGAAGCTGTACAAAAGTAAACCTCTTTAGTAAATGGCTGGGCTATTCCCCAACAATAGATCCTGGCAATAAGTTGCTTCTATTGATTTGATGAGCACCTTGAGAGACACTAGGCAAAGTTGCCAGAAATAATAAAATAAAACAAATAGGAGTTTTCCTCAACTTGTTGCTATCTATTCAGCCTGAAATATATTAGACGGAGATAAAGGTAGTCTTTCCTGTGTTCTTCATAAATTCAATAACGTAAAACACAAAGTAACTAAGTTGGTTTGAAATGGGGTTATTTACCTTCAAAAACGGACTGTCGACATTTTTTTTGTGAAGCGCTTTGAGATATCTTGACATGCTAAAGCACTAAAAAAAACTGTCTCTGTTTTAGTAAAGCTGAAGGATTTGTCTCCTGCTGGACACTACAGGTGATATTGACAGACCATTACAATATAGCTCTTTACAACATAGATGGATCAATATCAATATCAATAGATGGATTTGCACATTAAGGGAGCGGGAGGAGAAAAAATTCCACAACATCATTTAGCATCAACAATAAATTTATATTCCTGGTCAAAATGATCATTAATAGGATTAGTTGGACCAAAATATACTGCATTTTCAATGTTCATCAACACGATCCAGCTCCAGGCCAGACCAGAGCAAACGTGATCAAAACTGAAGCTGAACCTAATTTCAAATTTAAGTCTCAGTCACTTCTGATTCACTCCGTGACTATTTCTACTTTACAATATATTCCGCGAAATGCTTTGAGAACGTCTCAACGACGTGGTAAAGCACGATGTGTAATGTAGGGATTATTACTTCTGTGTTCTTTTGCAAATTTTATAAGCTTTAGAATCATAATAAATAACAATCTTTGCACTTGACTAAGTGCCTATATTGTCAAATCATCACTAAACACTTCATAAATAAATTACTGACAAGTGAAGTGACTGTGTGTATTGCAGGTCGATAATTTGTTCACAGCAACGTGTCACATACAGCCATGAAGTGAATACCAATTGTTGGCCAGGATACTGAAAGAAACACCCTTCTCTTTTCTCATAGTGCCAGGGGATCTTTAATGTCTATTTAAACAGAGAGACAGGATCTTGGTTTCACATCTCATTGAAAGGACAACATCTTTGGCAGTAAGGAGTGTCAGTCTAGCTCCTGATTTGGAACTTGAAACTCTGCAACCTTCTGTCCTAGAGATGATAGTGCTACCAAATGAGACAAGTTGTTACCTTCCTGGAGTAATGGGCAGAGGCAACATCTGCACGGAAAATATTTGAAAAACTCAGCCAAAGAATGAAGGCACCCCAATTTGAATCTGCATTGGAAGCACGTGTTTGCTCTGAGGCCCTCTATACTTGGACATTTCAATTTGCTCTTACCTGGAGTGGAATTTTCCCTGCTTCACCTTTTGTTCGCTCTGCAGCCTCATGTTTTCTAGTTTGACTGGACTCGGGATGAACCCTATTTCACAGCCTTCCTTAACCAACCGTCCTATCCACCAGTCATTGTTAAATTTCTACACACAGAAGCAGGGAACAAATTGAGGGAGGAAAAGTTAAAAACATCTGAAAAAACGTATTTGATATTAAGAAAAGCAGTTGAATTGTCTTTAAAAGCAGAACTTTATCAAAATTACGCTCAAAATTTCTCAACACTAGGATATTTAACATAGAGGCATATGGATCAAAATTAGCAGTGGTGATCAATATCACATTAGGCATATGTGTATTCAACAATTGTTACTGGTCTCAGTGAGGGGAGGGGGCAGAGAAGGGAGGTGCATATTCACTTAACTGAACCATCCAGGATGTTATCATGAGGCAAATGGGGAGAAATTCTACCTAGATCTAGATTTACTCTATTTGCCTAGCGTTTCAAAACAACCAGAATTGTTGGAAAATTATTACACATGGTCTTCATTTTGAAGCCAGATTTTTTTGTGTAAGTTCTTTTAAAATGACAAAGCTTGAAAGTTAAGGCTGTATTCAATGATTTGCTGAAATTCTGGACGGTCTAAAATGCTACAAGAATAAAGTGAATCTAGACCCAGGTGGAATTTCTTGTTCTTGCTTCCTTAAACTAGATTTGTTATCAGGAAAGATGCCGAATCAGACAACACAAAGATGTCATTGTGGATCTTACTTACTTCTTTAACATGAAGAAAATCCTTTGCTTCAAACGAGATAGCCATGCCAGGGACAGGGACATCATTGTCAAGTGCTGCGATGTAGTTGACATTTGTCCGAACAGCAAATGCAACAGGTTTGGTCTGTCAGAGATTAAAAGAAAGGATCTTGTCAAACTGACTTTACACCACAAATTTACACTTCTGTTTCCATTTACCTCCTTTTTTTTATTTACTCGCTGCACACTCATTTCAAATTCTGAAGGGTGTTGATATAGGGGTACTTATATTGAAGAGATAAGAATGATATTGATGTTACGTCCCCGGGAGGGAAGATGTGGAGAGCGTCGTAGTGCGTATGTGTGGTTTTCCGTTAGAGGAAGGCGCAGGAAACAAAGTTTTTTCGGTAGCAGCAAGTGCAGTGGCGACATTGCCAGTTAATAGTGCAGATCAATTTAAACGAATTTAATAGGAAATTTAACAGGACTTTGGCAGATGTACAACTTAGACGATTAAACGATTGATACAGATCAGACTTACGCGAGTTTTACTGTATTTACCAGCTACAGTGCATTATTCTCTGCTAGGAACAGAACGAGTGTCAATGCACTGACAGTATAAACACTTTCACATAAGTTCTGTTTCAATTACGCCCCTGTTGTATTTCTGACTACACTCATTTTGAGCTATAAAAGAAATTAGGAAGTGAATCTACTTAAACACACATTTATTCAGACAGTATAATTATTACTCAGGTTCATTTATTTACTTTGTTTTCAGAGTTAAAGCTCAGTGTTTCACATTCACTAATATATAAACTGACAATCATTTTGAGGTACTTTTAGTTCTTTGCTCTGCTCTAAATGTCAGTCACTCTCCATTCAGATGTTAAGGGCACTGAACCTTGCAACAGATGCTAGTTCACTGCACTGGCAATTCACATGACAATATCTGATGGATGGATTTCTCACTATAATAGGTAACAAAATGATCAGTAATTTTACCTTAATTTCTTCAAATCAATCTCAATTTGGAAGCTGGTTCTTTTTAAGATAGCTTCCAAAATAAAACTGGATTGAAGAATTTTCCATGATTCTGTGTGATAATAATAATATTCCTTGCATTTGATATAATATTAAAAGATAATAATCCTTGCATTCGATATAGTGCCTTATCATGTCTTATCACATCTTCGAGATATCAGTGCCTTGGGATGTCCTCCCAACATGAAAGGCGCTATCAATGTAATTTCGTTGTTGTTGTTGTCTCAAAGCGCTTCATAGAATATACTATAAAGTGAATTGACTGCATATTTTGTGGGCAAATGCGACAGCTAATTGTGCACAGCAGTGTCCCACAAAAACAGTTGTGGATTGAGTAACCAAATTATTTTTATTTATTTTGAAGGAATTATTACCCCCAGAAAAGCGATCCGACAATCAACTAACAATCGGGTTCCTACGTACTGCTAGGTAACAGAGGCGTGTGGAGTAAGGAAACTTGCCCAATACTTGTGAGGTGAGTGCTCTAACCACTAAGCTACAATCTTAAAATGTTAAGACAAAATGGTCTTACAGACTAAGACAAGGTGGAACTTTGGACCTCAACTGCCTTATCAAAATGGATTCATCTAGTTTGTGCACCTCAATGCTATTTGGGAGGAAAATGTGGAATGTGATGCAGTAATTATCACCAGTGAAACTTATTGCCACCATTTATCCCCCAACAATTGGAGAGAAATCTTAGCTGAGTATAGATTTATTCTATTCGTGGGCTTAAAAATATTATAGAACACCTGTTTAAAATTTAAGGCTGCATTAAAAAATTTGCTAAGTTCTGGATGCTCTAAATGCTACAACAACAACGTAAATCGAGTCTTGGGTTGAATTGCTCCCTAAATATGCTCTAACCGCGAGTTGAACTCTACCAACTACAAACTGACCCAACCTGTTCTTTCCTCTATGGTTCACTGGTGAAGAACTTGGGAAAATGTACTCTGGTGTTGAATAGATCACAAAAGCAACAACAACTTGTATTTATATAGAGGCCCTCAGGCAAGGTAACGTCCCAGAGCGCTTGACTGTGGAGGAGCGGGACACCGATCCAGGGGGAGGGGGGGACGTGATCGTATGCAGGGTCGAAGAGGAAGGTCCTCAGGTGCAGTCTGAAGATGGTGAAGGAAGGAGCAAGTGGCGTAATAGAATTTCTGAATTAGGAATTAGATGGATGCTTGAAAGAGAGGAATATTAAAAGAGGTCTGAAGAAGCAGAAAGCAGAAGATTAGTTGACTCACGTGGAGAAAGGCAGCAGGGCAGACTTGATGGGCTGACTGGCCTGTTGATGTGCTATAACATTTGCTGATTCTATGAGGAAATACTGGATGTGGTGAAGTCTGTGGTAGGATAGTGTTGGATGAGAGAGGAATGGGCTGGATGGGCTGCAAAGTGTTTGCTGTTTTCTCCATATTGTGCTAAATCCAATGGCAAACAGGCTTTAAGATTGGAGGAAGAAAACCCCACTCCTTCCACAGACCATGCAAATCTTGCCTGACTGAACTTTCCTTCCCATTCTAACTCCTTAGACAAAATTGTATACCAACATTCCCAAATCACCAAAAACAACTAAACAAAATGCAGAACTGACACCATCACCTTTTGCGCAATTGGCTTCCATGTTTCGGCCACAAAATACACAGTCAGTCCACTTTACAGTATATTCTGTGAAGCGCTTTGAGATGTCTCAATGACATGACAAGGCGCTATATGAAATGCAAGGATTATTATTTTTTATTATCTTTCTCCTATTGAAACCTGGCCAATTGATCTCTGTAAACAACATTCCTGTCCTCCACTACCTCCTCCAACTCCAGCAACAGAAAATAAATACTGCATCCAACGGAGTATGTGCTCTTCTCAGGCCAGGCCCCAAATCACCAAGTAGAGGCACAGCGAGACTATATAATTCTATGGAAAGGGAAACTGTGTTTCTCTGCACTGTGGGGCAGCTAAATCTGGATGAGCACACAGCCAGTTTGCCAACAAGTATTACACTTGAATCAAGATTCCAGTAAACTGCAGATTAAAAATACCAAGCAGTGACAAGTGACATTTTTGTATGCGGTCTAATTTATTTAGCTTCTTTTTAGACTTTAAAACGAAAGTTAACTTTTTCATTTCTGCAAACAGACTATTTTTCCTTTACATAAATTAAGCAAACAGTACAAAGGAGTCCATCACAAAGTAAATGTGCATTCATACGTATGCTTAAGGCAACATTCTTGGTGCCAAAGTATAAAAAAATGTTGCATGGTGTGAAATATCAAATTATGCTAACAATGCAATTACCAGTTTAAACCAAGTGATTCATATAAACGAAAACTGAATCACGCTATTAGAAAGATCAACCATTAAGTAACTATCATGCATTGGGGGCTGAATCACAGAGAGAGATACTGCAATCCAATGTTATATGACTCACAGCAGATTCATATTTAGGCAAAAATAATCTGCCATTTTTCAGAAAAACAGTAGGAGGTATTAAAGCCTGCTTCCAGTTTGACTCAGTTTATTCTTAGTACCTAAATAAAGTGGGACAATTTTAGACAGGCTTATTCAAATTGTATACAGGCTTATTCCCTTTCCTTTTCCCTCCCCCCCGCTATAGTCTTAAATGACATTTTGCTCAATTTAACTTATTTTTTTAATGAAAAGAGTGTTCAGTAATAGACTGATGTCATGGAGTGGCAATAACTATGGCCAATGATATCAGCATCATCCAGCTGGAAATGTGCAGTAACAATGAGATGCAAAATGCGATTTTTAAAAACTAAGTCAGAAGCTTGTAATGTTCAACAATCCTGGACAACAATTCCTTAGATAAAATTGGTCTCTCATTTCATATCCGTTTGTGGAACATTGCTGTGTGCAATTGGCTGCCGTGTCCAGCTGCAAGTACACAATCCTGTAAAACACTTTGAGGCACCTCGATGACTTGATAGGGCGCTACATCAAATACAAGGATTATTATTATAATTATTATTTCCCTTTCTGTTCTGTATTGCAATGCAGAGTAAACCTCTGCTGGTTTTGAATTATTGAACAGTTTACGAAGCTGCGCTATGGAACAGTGACCAAGGGCAGCTTCCAATTTTGTAATCTGTGCTGTTAATTGTGCCGAGAATCTAAGTCCCAATTCATACACTTGAAGCCCAGTTGATCGATGAGGTGAAACAGAGGCTGATGTGGCCCATTCGCTCATGGCTCTGCAGGTTCTCAGTCCTCAAAGCCTGGCAGCTGTGCTTCCCACTCCTTTCAGAAACCATATTCAAACTGAGTGCCGCTAATTTCAATTTACATTCAGCTCAGGAGGCAGCTGGTACAGAAATAACTTCTGTGACGCACACACAACATTCTGTTCCAACCATACTCCGGCTAATGTCATCGGTTTTCCAGTCAATACCTGTTTGTTATGCTTGTCCATTACACCTATGTGATCAGAAGCAAGCTTTAGAAATGTAAATTCTCCAACAGTGCCACAGGAAGGAATTAACAGAGATTACTGGGAAGAGGGAAAAATTGCAAATTGGCATCTTCTAATTCATATGTTTCTCTGCAACAAAAAAACTGGCGCTGAAAATGAATTGAAAGGTAATGGGCAAAATATTTTACTATTGAAGAGATTTAAAGCTATCTCTCACAGGTAGCATAAGCCTGTGGAGAGGGTTGCCTCAATTTTCTCGCTTCCTCCAAGCAATGTGACACATGCTGAGGGTGTCCCACCAGTGTGTCTCTCAACTGACCGCTCTTTCTCTGTGAGCCTGGACAATGAGAGCTGTACCATTGAGAGAGTGGTACAACCCATTCAATCATGTCCTCACATGTTGAAAGGTTCTGTAACCACTGGTTAACCCTTTCCCACTGTATCGCAACTGAGATCAGGAATTCACTGGTTAAAAAAAATCATTAGTTTAAATATTATAATAATCATAACCTTGCATTTGATGTCGCACCTTGCACATCAGGTGGACGTCTCAAAGTGCTTCATAGGATTGGCAGTGTAGACAGTGCAGTAACTGTGTATTTTGTAGGCAAGAAAACCTTGGAAATGTCACCATTATCCATTGCTGTTAATTGCAGACAATTGCT